ATCGTTGCAATATTGCAATATTGGATTCATCGTGAATGAAGAGAAAGCAGAACGTGTGCGCCACATGCTGCGTGGTTCATCTTACGTCGTTAAGTTCCAATGAGTTTTTACGTAAAAACACAAACAAAGCGGCCCTTTTCAGGGCCATCACACACTCCAAAAAGAGAACTACCGTAACAAACACACTATTTAAATAAATCGAACGCGTTCGTTTTTGACAAATAAAACTTTATTGTTGACCCCGTTCTTGGCTAAAAATCACCCTGGGCGTTTAACCGAGGATGTCCCCAACATGTAACTTTTGTGAAAACAGGGGGTGGGCGCTTGCCCAGGGAGGGGCGCGTGCCCGGGGTAATACGATATATCTCAAGTACTAATCATGACATTTCAATGAAACTTGGTACATAGATCCTCTAGGACTATGCAGAGATCTGATTAGTTTTGGGGTAAATAATTGTGCATATTAATTAACTTATTAGCATAATTATTTAATATTCAACTTTTTCACTGATATCTTGAGTACTAATCATCACCTTTAAATGAATCTAACTATGCAGAGAGCCAATTAGTTGTTGGAATATATTTATGCATATTAATCACCTGATTTGCATAATTTTCAACTTTTACACTGATATCTCAAGTACTAATCATCACATTTCAATGAAACTTTGTACATATATGCTCTAGGACAATGTACAAATATGATCAGTTTTGGGTTCAAATCTGTTCATATAAATTCCCTAATTAGCATAATTAGCATAATTATTCATTAGTTTGGTTCTGATCACATTTCAATGAAACTTGGTACATAGATGGTCTGTTACATTGCGCTGACCTTATTAGTTTTACATTCTTGTTATTTTAATTTTCTGATTTGCATAATTAGTTTTCAGCTTTTCCATCAATATCTCAAGTACAAGTAATTTTGAATCAATTTTTACTGTGTTTCTAATACTCTCAGCACACGGGAGTTCTTTCTAATAGCCCCGTCACACCATAACGTTTTGGTCAGCGTTCTCTGAACGTTCCAATCGTCCAATTTCCGAGCGTTCTGGAACGAGGTAGATACATCCAGCGTTCGATTAACGTTTGACGTGTGCTAACGTGTTACTAGCGCGCGACGAACGACTTTTAAACGTTAAGTGAGCGTGTTGAGCGTGTATCTAACGTTATGTCGTTAATTTGACATTAGTCGCACGCTTTATGTGCGCTAGGGGTACGTGGTCGTTGACAGGTCGCTAGTGAGTTGTTCACTGCAAAGCGAGCAATTGGTAACAACTAAGTAACGCTAGAGCAACGACTGACTAACGCTTGTCGAACGCGTTGAACGTTAGCAAAACGATCAAAGAACGTTATTTAACATTTAACAGCGTTTAAAAATAAACGTTGAAGAACGCTGGTCTCAAATGAGAACTTTTGTGCATGTTCAAAACTTTTTTTTTGGATCAGCGTTCTCCGCCGATTCCCAACGATCAGCAATGATTACCGACGTTCACTAGCGTTCTCACAGCGCTCTTCTGGCGCTGTCCCAGCGACTTTGGGCGACTACCAATGTTTCCTCAAACGCCAGAGAACGCTAGCCAGAACGTCATGGTGTGACTGCG